ACAGACTCCTGGGCGATTGAAGCTTACAGACCAACATTTGATTTTTAAAAATCAAAAGACAGGCAAAGTAGAACAAATTTCAGCATCGGATATGGAAATGGTAAATTATCAAAAATTCATTGGTACCTGGGGTCTTCGAATATTTCTCAAAAATGGAACTCTACACAGGTTTCGTGGATTCAAGGAAGGTGTAAGTAACAATTTTTAGTTAAGAATAAATCTTTTTTCAATTTTACGTTTTGTAATAAAACAATATTTATTTTTAGGATCAAGAAAAAATTGCAAAATTCTTCCTACAAAACTATAAAAAAGATATGCTAGAAAAGGAACTTAGCCTAAAAGGTTGGAATTGGGGTACAGCTAGGTTTAATGGTTCTGTATTAAGTTTTGATGTTGGTCATCATACTGCTTTTGAAATTCCATTGTACGATGTGTCTCAATGTAATACTGGTAAGAATGAAGTCACATTGGAATTTCATCAGGTAAATTATCGATAATGTAACGTGTTTAACATTAATAACGTTTCTTAATATTAAAATTTTGTACATTTTTCAGAATGATGATGCTCCTGTGAGTTTAATGGAAATGAGATTTCATATCCCTATTAGTGACAGCGCAGATCAAGATCCAGTAGAAGCATTTCATCAGCAAGTTATGGAAAAAGCATCTGTCATCAGTGTCAGTGGAGATGCTATTGCAATATTTCGAGAGATTCAATGTCTTACACCACGGTATGTATATATGTTTAAGAAATATAATTTAAAAGATTCATATATTAATATAACTCCCTCTTCCAGTGGTCGTTATGATATAAAGATATTCCAATCATTTTTCCAATTACATGGTAAAACTTTTGATTACAAGATTCCAATGTCAACTGTTTTAAGGCTATTTCTTTTACCACATAAGGACAATAGGCAAATGTATTTTGTGGTAAGCATTTCGAAAATTATTTTTATTTTTTCTTGTTAATTATTTGTTTTATTATTATCGTTAATATCTTTCGCTTAGGTCAGTTTAGATCCACCAATTAAACAGGGTCAAACCCGTTATCATTATTTAGTATTATTATTCAATCAAGAAGAAGAAACTTCAATTGAATTACCTTTTTCTGAGTATGTATCTGTATTTGACTCAAGCACTATGGTAAAAATATGAATATGTTTACTAATCATATATTTATATTATATTATATTATATTATATTATATTATTGCAGAAAAGAATTAAAAGAAAAATATGAAGATAAATTACCAAAAGAATTATCTGGACCAACTTATGAAGTTTTAGGAAAAGTAATGAAAGTTATTATTAATAGAAAACTTACTGGACCTGGAAATTTTATTAGGTAAGTTTTTTGTAAACTGCGTAGCCGAAATACTTTAATATATTACATGTTTTTAATTTTCAGTCATTCTGGAACACTTGCAATCAGTTGTTCATTTAAAGCAGCTGCAGGTTATTTATATCCTTTAGAAAGAGGTTTTATTTACGTTCATAAACCACCAATCCATATACGTTTTGAAGAAATTGCGTCAGTAAATTTCGCCCGTGGTGGTGGTTCTACAAGATCATTTGATTTTGAAATTGAATTGACTAGCGGTGTTGTTCATACATTCAGTAGTATAGAAAAGGAGGAGTATGGAAAACTTTTTGATTTTATTACTTCCAAAAAATTACGGGTTAAAAATAGAGGCAAGAGCGTAAGTATGAATTATTATCGTAATTGTAATTCTTTAATTAATTATATTAAGAAATTCTTTGTTTTTGCAATAGGACAAATTGAATTATGACAATGACTTTGGAGATAGCGATCAAGAAGATGAGCCAGATGCGTATTTGGCAAGAGTTAAAGCAGAAGCACAGGAAAGAGATGCAGAGGAAAATCAGGATTCTGAGGAAGAGTCTACCGATGAAGATTTTAATCCGAATCAGGTGTGATTTTATCAAAATTTTTGGCAAACATACAAATTTATATACCTTGTATATATATATATATATATATATATATATATATATATATATATTCTTTTAGGACGAGAGTGATGTGGCAGAAGAATATGACAGTAATCCAAATAGTTCAGAAAGTGAAAATGAATCAGATGCTTCAGGAAAAAGTCAAAAGAAAGAGAAGAAAGAAAAAAGAGAAAAGAAAGCAAAGTCAGCTAAAACCGTGGTAAACATTTTACTTATATCTTTTTTACAGTGTTTTTAATATTTATAAGAATGAATTTGCAATCGTATCCAGATTAGATAACTTACTAAGAATGGTTTATCAATGTATGTGTTGCCTTATTTAGTCAGAGAAGCCAAGAAAACCTAGAAAACAGAAGAAAGAAAAAGATGCAAATAAACCTAAGAGACCGCCAACTGCATTTATGATATGGTTAAACAGTGCTCGAGAAAGAATTAAAGCAGAAAATCCTGGAATTGCTGTTACAGAAATTGCAAAGAAAGGAGGTGAAATGTGGAGGGAACTAAAAGATAAATCTGTAAGACCAAAATTGCTTTAATTTCTTACATGTAATTCCGTAATTATTTAATATATACTAATTATAATAGGAATGGGAACAAAAAGCAGCAAAGGCAAAGAAAGAGTACACTGCATCAATGAAAGAATATGAAGCTAGTGGCGGAGGAGCTGGCGATAAGGAAAAGATATCAGAAAAGAAAGAAAAGGGAGAGAAGAAGAGGAAAGAGAGTAAAAAAGAATCTCCCAGTAAGCTTATGACCGGAACCAGTTTCAAAAGTAAAGAATATATTAGTGATGATGAAAGCAGTAGCGATGAAGATAATAAGGTATGTTAAGAATTAAGAGTATAATTTATTAGGTATTTTATTAGTATTATATTATGACAGTAGAAATATTATTTTAATTAAATATTTCTATAGAAATCAGAAAAGAAGGCTTCGGATGAAGACAGTGACGGAGGTAAAGAAAAGAAAAGCGGAGATAAACGAAGTGCGGTAATTTCATTATATTAGTTGTGTTCTATTAAAAACATTTTTTAAGATATATTCTATTGCATATGATTTTATTGTAGGAGGATGACGACAAGAAGTTGAAGAAGAAAAGGAAAGAAGAATCCGAGGGTAGTGATGAAGAACCTATTGAAAGTACTCCACCTTCTAGTGAGGCTGAATCTAAAGACAGTGATTAATTATAATTTATACATTTCTTTAACAACCACTTAATTTAATCTTTATTCCTACAGAAATATCTTTAATATCGATGTATCTAGTACTCTTAAAATCATTAAAATATGTTCCATATTTACCATATTTTAAGTTATAATACAATATTGTATTAAATATTTATATTTGTACGGTTCTGATTTATTTAAACATTTCTAAATGTTTTTAAAATTATTTAAATTTAATAAATTTAAAAACAGCTATAAGATATAATATTACTACATATATGGCTTTATTAACACGTTGACTGCCACGCGTGTTTTCAAAGAACGGTCTCCGTCAGGCCACGCGTACTGCAGTACCAAGCGTTCTCTGCTAGGTGTTCCCATCGATATTTTAGTAATGCGAATCGCTCAAGTGGTGGTCTCAAGAATGATCTTTCGTTTCATTCGCTCGCAACATTAGAACCACCAGCTGTTGTTGAATATAATGAAGGAAAGTGTGGTATAGATTATTCCGACCAAATGGTTTCTGATGCCACCACCTTTCCTTAGAAAAGGAATCAAATGGTACAGAAAACTTGGCACTCATTCTTTCTGGGAATTTCTGTTGTAAACGCTTTAACGGTTTACAAAATTGCAACAAGAAAAAATATAAATATTAGAATATTTAGACAATTATTAGTTGCAAAATTATTAGAGTTGTCTGAAAATATAAAAAATCCTTGTCTTCGACGGAGTCAGCATAATATCGCCGTTCGAAAAAATGATTCCGGAAGAAGCATTAGACACGCATGCAAACTATGTTATGCAAATAAAGGACGTTGAATGGACGGAACAAAGGCACAAAAGAATTTGAAGAAAACAACAACTTATTGCCCGAATTGTCCCGACCAACCTCAGCTATGTATAGAATGCTTTAAAGTTTTACATTCTAAATCATTTTTTTAATAAACCATTTTCGTATTTTTATTTTATAACAATTCAACTATTATTACAATTAATTATTAAGTAACAATTTATTATTATGGAATATCTTTTCAAATGCCTGCGACGAACAACAGAAACTTTGCTGACACCCGAATACGGGTGTCGTGGCAGTTGTAACATCAATTTTATCAGAGGCCACTGCGCACCCTCAATTACCCCAGGGATCCACCATAAACTTAAACTTTTTAAGTTTATTATTTCTGTTATCTGTTTATGGATGGTCCTTGAAACAGCCCTTAGGTTGTTATACGTCCTTACTAATTACGGGGAAAGCAGGTAGTTACCTAATGGTAAAAAACCCAATACTTGACTAACGAAAAAGCTGGTTTTCCCCATAAACAATATTACCTACCAGCCGCGTTGATAGGAGGCTTTCTCCTCCTATCTTCATTTATTAACATGACCTATAACCAACCAATTGGCATCGTGGATCGTTACCCTTACTTTTCCTAACGGAAGTGGTGCGAACAGCGAATCCGCGTTGAAAAGGGCACACCCACACCGAGCTTTCCTCCGTAATGAGACGAGAACACCTAGGGAGAAAATAGACAAAACCATCGAACAGTGAATATCTCTCCAATCAGTGTAAACCTGTGCTGTACTAGAAAATAAAGACAATAGTTGTGTTACGACTCAGCTACTTTATTTCATAAACTAACCCTTAAATTTACGTGACATAGACAACGTGTTAATGAAGACAATTCATAATTACAATCTGTAATAAATATGGTAATTTAGTGAATAATAAATTGATGTGAATAAATGAAGTTCTTCAAAAAATATTAAATAGCATTTCCTTTCATAGTCAACATTTTTGACAAAAATATTATGATTTTCGTAATATGATTTTATTAACCAAAAGATATCGCTTAGTAGTATAATACATATATAAATGTATTTTGTGTCTATATACATAAAAATTCTAGGTTAGGATTAGTCGAAGCACTGTCAAAGAAGTATTGACGAAAAAAAATTAGAGGAAGATGTTAATTTCTAAATCATAGCTTCAACCAAACATTATAAATAAATTTACAACATATTTAATTAAAAATAAAGAACATTTACTGTGTAAATCTAATATTTCATAAAAATGGATATCAGAGAAAGTACAGGATTTTACGATTTATGTGTGAATGTACCAGGAAATCAAACACAAAATCTATATCCTATTTTATCAAAATTATGTGAATATGGATTCAAAACAGTAGCAATAAATACTAATGTGGATGAAAGTGTACTTGGAACAGAGAAAAAGAGGAAAAAAAAGGGTGGTGATAGTGAAACATCACAGGGTATCGTTCTTGAAACAATCGACATTGGAAGTATAAGAAAAGAATTTGACGGAAGATTAAGAATTTTTAATCGAATTACTTTCTTTTGTTCTGATTTTGCAAAAACGCATATAGTGAATCATTGTTCCAGTTTAAAAAAATTCGATCTATATGCTTTTGCTCCAAAAACACAAAGTGCTTTACAATTTGCATGTACTCAATTAAATGCAGATATAATTACATTAAGGTCGAATGCTACATCGTTTAAACTTAATAAAAAGCTGTATGATCAAGCAATTGAAAGAGGAATACATTTTGAAATACAGTATGTAGATCTATTAAATGTTGAATTCAGAAAAAGTACTATCCATTATTCTCATCTCTTTCATACATACGGAAAGAGTAAGGTATAGAAATATTTATGTATAAATGAAAATAATCGTTTTTTAACACTACATAGTCGTATATTGCAAAACAGCACTAATATAAATATTAATTTATATTAATGCTTAGCCTATAGATAATAATGTTATTAAATATCGAAAGATTTATTGGCAAACGTACAAAGGATTTTTCTTTAAAATCCATGTTTAAATAACAAACAAATTTCTAATTAACTATTTTGTTTATTTAGAATGTAATATTGTCCAGTGGTGTCAGTGATATCAAGACAATAAGAAATCCTTATGATCTTATAAATTTGGCATGTTTATTGGGTTTGAATGAAGTTCAAGCAAAAGCATCGATATTACATCAGTGTAAAAGACTTCTGTTAAGAGCAGGTGATGTACTATTGCATGTAAAAGTGCAAATTTTCATGAAAATGGAAATAATATAATATAATTATTAAGTTATTTGTCCTTTTATTTAGAAAGAAGACGTAGAGGAAAAGCTGCTTTTATTATTGAAGATTGTACAGAAAGAACAAGTATCGCTGACGGAGACTCAAAATTTCTAAAAAAATTGAAAGTATAAGTTGAATTATAATAGATGTCTTTTATTATTTTTTTAAATGGTCAATCGAAAATATGATAAAAGGGTAAATATTACTTTTTACTTTAAATTTACTTACATTGAAATAATAGAATTCTTATAATATATAGGATATAGATATAATAGAAATTAACAATGATGAAAATTTGATTTTTATAAACATGTTAAATAAAATATTTTTGAATATAAAATTCCATATATTTCTTTATTTAATATATTTAAAATAGAACTAATTTTTACTTTTTGTAGAGAAATATATATTTTCCATTAAGAAGAAAGCAATAAAGCAATGTACGGAAAAAGATAATTACTTAAAAAATACTTTATATATCTTCAACAATTCCTTAAATAATATTTTAGGCTTAAATGATTTTTTCTTTTTTTTTTTTTTTTTCATACCTTATAGAAAAGAGCAATTGCTTTTGGGGAAAACATTCCTTTTTTCATATCAATCACTTACAAATTGCAATTTTTATGGATTTTACCTTATATACAATTGTTCTACAAATCGTCGTCGATTAAAAATTTTATATTAATATTCTATACTAAAAAATATATAAGATATATACATAACATATGCTTTATACTGTAAGTAACTTTCCGGAACACCAAGGACATGGATGAAAATTCGGTTCAAACATACAGGAATCTTTACAATCTTTTATCTCTGTCAGAACATCTAGGAGTTCCGAAACACTTTTATTTTCTACTTGTGGATCTATTACTTCCTCTTTTCTTTTTATAGATACAGAATCACTAGAACCCATTGCTGAAAAATAATTTGTTTCGTTAAATTTCGACTAATTAATAATGGTTATATATATATATATATATAATATAAGTTAGAGTACATGTTAATCTCTTTTGATCAATACAATATCACTTTTATTATGTAAATAAATTTCAGGTAAGATAATTGAAATAGAATATTATATTATAAGTACCTGTTTCAACTTGACATTCTGTTCCATTGGAACGTATGTATTCCTTGCTAAGAAAATCACTAACCAAAACCTTCAATTTATGTAATTGCTCTTGTTGCTGATTTCTCTGTTCAAGTAATTGTCGAAATACCTGTTCTCTTTCTATTGCTCTGTTTTGTAGAACAGCTCTTTGTTTTTGATATAATGTTATATATTCTCCTAAAAATAAAGAAGGGAGATAATTCTATGAATATAAAGATAAAGTTAGAGTGTAAATAATTATTTAAAAACCATCTATTTGTACCTATTGTCTCTGTTTCACTTTGAAGCTGTAAAACGAGATGTTCAAGCTTCTGTTTCTCTTCTGTAAGCTCTGCGACTCGTTCCATTGTTTCTTTAAATCTTTGTTCAAGCTTTTTTACAGGTTCAGATATAATAACATCGTTTTCGTTTGAGCTTTCTACATGTACTTTTTCTCCCGATTTTGATACATTATTATTAGCATTCACAGAATGTGAATCAACTTCGGAGATGGAACTGGCTACATTTTTTTCTTTCAATTTCTCCATAAGTGTTTGTTTTTCCTTTTCTAATCTTTCTATAGTGGTCTGAAACAGAAACAGAGCAAGAAAAATGTTTAACATCAATGAACGAAATCTTTTAATATAATTAAACAGATAATTACTATAGCATGTTGAAGTTCTCGTTGAAAAGTATCTACATGATGCGATTGAGCTTGATAATGCTGTATTTGATCTGCTATTTGAGCATTTTGAAGTCTTTCTTTTTCAACCTCTTCAAGAATAGCTTCTTTTTCCCTTAATTTCTCTTTCAGTTGTCCCAACTCACTTTCTACGTTATTTAACTGAACGTTTAACTTTCTTCCTATAGAACGCTCCGCTTGAAGTTGTTCAGTTAAATCCAATTTTGCATTACTCTTAAAATTGTATAAAAAATTTATATAGTTTATTTACTCCCATTTACCATATCATTAATAATGTTTTATCAATATTTAATGTTACGCTTACCAAAGAAACAAACGCATTTTCCATATCAGTCAGTTGCTCTTTTAACTGTCGATTTTGCTGAACTGCTCTCGATGCCCCTAACTGTTCACTTTCGAGAGCACTGACTAGTTTTGTCACTTCTGTTCCTTGATTATTTGCATCTCGTAAATCATTTAGATTTTTTGTCAACATTTCAATTTGTGAATCCTAAATATATGGAAGAAAATTTTAATTAATCAATAAATCGATGTAATTTTAAATAACTTTTATTTACTTTCTATAGTAAAAATTAGTACAAAAATGTTACCTTCTCAGATAATAAAATATGAAGCCTTTCTTGTTCCAATGTAAGTTCATCTATATTTTTCAGCAGATTATCGGTTTCATCTTTACGATCTTGTAAAGATGATAAATTCTCTGCTTTTTCTCTTTCTTGTTGTAATTGTTGCTCAAGCTCTGAAATCCTTTGTATACAACTTTGTTCTCTACGTTGTAAATCTTCTATACCACCTCTTTGTGTTTTTATCTATAAATGACATTTAATTTTTAGAAAATTTATCATATTTCGTTGCACCTTCGAATTTCATTACAGGGAATATAAAAATACCTCTTCTAATAATTTTGCCTGCTGGGTATCTAATTGTTTAACATAATTCTGGTACTGTTTATTGGCTTCATCCTTTTCAACACTAACAATTTTCAGAGCTTCTTTAGTTTGTGCTAATTCTTGCTCCAAAAGAATTACTGCATGTTTCTCCTCTTCTGTTGTTGTAGCAACTTTCATCTACAAAGAGCAAAGAAGTATATGAAAAATGTTGCACATACAGTTAACCAAAGATAATGCACATGTATTACCTGTTGTATTCTAAGTTCGCTCAATGAAAGCAACGCTGTTTTTTCTTGAAGTTCTTGTTGAACAGCAATTAATTCTGTTTTCTTCAAATTCAATTTTTGCTTTAATTCTGATGCTTCTAAACTCAAATCCTCTTTTTCTTTCTTCAATTCAAAAAATCTGTTATTAAGAGAATCATATTCACTTTGTAATTGATGAATGTTTTTCCTCAATTCTTCATTATTATTTTTTACAGTAGATATTTCTTTCTCTAATTCAGCTATGCGAATTTGTGAATTTTTTAATTTTCTTGTCATTTCTTCAGATTCCTCTAAAAAATATATTAATTTTTAATTTATTAAAAATTTATAATCACGTACGTACGTGCACACGCCTGCTTAGAATGTCTCATTAATTAAAATAACAAACCTGAACTTTGTCTAATGCTTTGTTGAGCTTGACTAAGAGCAGCAGTAAGTTCTGCTTTTTCTGCTATTAGAATGCCGGTAGTCTGGGTATGAACCTGAAGTTGCTCTTTTAAAGGATCTATTTCTTGTGCCAATTCTACCTGAAATTCTGTTTCTTTTCCTTCTAATTTGGCTTCTAACTCTGAAATCTTGCTACGCTAATCAAATTATTAAAACAATTTTATTTCTGAACTATTTCTTTTTTCAACGTTTAGATCTAGATACTTTTTATAAAATTTACATACATATATACACTTACAGCATTACTAAGCTCAATATGCAATTCGTTAACAACTTTTTTCTGCTCTTCCATATAAGGACTTAAAAATTTATTATGATACATTAAATCAGTATCAAGAGATGTTTCTATATGTTCTGACTCATTTGTTAAAACATCTGCAACTGCAGAAGCCATCTCCAAGAGATGTTCTTTTTGTACTTTTGGAAGATCATAAAAATCCACTTTACTCGCTGCTTCTGATGTATTAATTTCTTGTACACTTTCTGTATTGATGGTTTCTTCTGTAGAATGATGTACTTTATCATGATTTATGGTATTTTCTGAAGTTACCACTGAATTTGTGGATAGTACTTCATCTTTTTGAAATTCTTGAACTATATCATTTTCCACATTTCCTATTGTCGATGCATTAGTTACACCTTCTAAATGTGATGTATCAGTTTCTGCGTTTTGATACTGCAAAATTTAACAAATTAATTAAAAAACTTTTCGCATTTTACGACAATTAAAATATAATAAAGATTACAAGGAGAAATGTGATTGCATATGCACATGGATTTAAATAAAAAGATGTAATAATTATTATAATATATAAATTTCTTTCACCTGCGAAGGTAATGAATTGACAGAGTGACGTTTTTGTTTCACAGAATCATCTGGATTATTTTGCATTTTTCTTAATTGAAATTCCCTGAGCTAACAAAAAAAGGAAGTTTTATGAAACATAAGTAACGATAACATTTTTTTATACTAATCTAACTTATGAAATCATAAGGTTTTCCAAATTATTTATTTACGTTTTAAAGCGTAAATATTATGTGAAATTAAAATTCAATAAGCGTCTGACAGCTAACATAACCTAAATATTCAAAGATACAGAAATATAAGAGAATGAATAATTAAAATGTTGCTAGAACTTACGAAGTCCTATAAATATAAGTATACATTTTTTGTACGTAAATTGAATATTGAAAAGATACTTATGTAGCTGTCAATACTTCAAAACATTATACCTTTTTCTTAGCGGCCAACAATTTTTCGCTTTTGCTTAAATTCATGTTGACACGTGACATGAAAACTAATAAGTGAAATCCTTGATTTTATTTTAACACAATTATTTACATCATCATAATTAAAAATATTGTATTATTTGCTACCAAGGTTATCTCATGCCTACTTAATCCACGAATATGATCGTGTACTAATCGCTCTCTTATCCATTGACCTAATTATTTAGTTAGATGGCCAACAGTGATTGAATTATACGAACCAATGAATTACGCTACTTATCAACAATTTATTATAATAAATAAAGTAAATAATTTTTCCATATAAAATGTTTAAAGTATTAAACACTTATAATGAAAGAAATTTACGATATATATTTATAGATTATATACATTTAATATCAGATAATTTTATGTTATGTATACTTTATAGCAAATACAAAGTTTTATACATAAGAAATTGCTTAAATATTAACAATAATTTTAATAATTTTGGTATTATGATAAGTTGCGAAAAAATGAATAATTTATGCGGAGGCGAAAAACCCTAGCTGGAACTTCGTTAAATTTTTCGCTGATGGTTGGATTGAGTTTAAGTACAACTGTGAATTGGTGCGATGAAAACGTAGAATTGCACTTGTATTAGGAATCTTCAGTTTTTCTGCAAAAGTTTAAAGCAAAGGTGAATGTAAAATGTTACTCTTACTTTTCAGTAATTGTTTCTTTTACACGTTACAAGCCTCATGTCAAATAACAAAATTATAAAATGTGAAAGATTTATTTAAAGAGAATACCGTATTAATTTGACAACAAAGAAGTTTGAATTTGGTTATTAAATTTTTTATTACAAAGTTTAAATCTAGCTTCATATTTTTAGTTTTATATAATACTTTTTATAAATATTGGATAATTTACAAAATTATTTTATTAGAAAATGTGATACAATGAGTTGGATATTATAGGTATATGTACGCACGCACGCGCACACACACACACACACACACACACGCGCGCGCGCGCGCTTGTAAAAATTAAATGATATTGTACGTAATAAGATTAGAATATTGTGCTTAACAGAAATCTAATTTCCATAGAGGAACTAAAATGGGTGTACCTACGGCTAAAAATCCTGAAGCTATGGATGTTGAAATAATCTTTGAGGGTCAAAATGGTGATGGAGATGTTTGTGATAAAAAAGATGCTGATCTTCAAACAATATATGATATACGCGAGCATGCTCGTCAAATAGAAAAAGCTGTACAGAGCAAAGAACCACGTTTTATTTTAAGAGCTTTGCGTACGCTACCTAATACACGTCGCAGATTAAACTCGAACGTCCTGCGTGGAGTAATTCTAAGTTTTTATCCTAAACCATGTGCCGAACGTGATGCATTACTGTCATGGTTAGAAGACTCTGCTGAATTTGAAGAAACGCAGAAACTTCGCATTTCCACCATAACTCCACTACCTGAAATTGATACTTACATTCATTTACTAGTTCTCGTACGTTTAATTGATGCTGGAAAACACGAAGAATCCGTTCAATGCTCCGAGGCATTGTTGCAAAAAATCATTGCTCAAAATAGACGTACAATTGACCTGATTGCTGCCAAATGTTATTTCTATTATTCAAGGGCATATGAATTAATTGGGAGACTGGATAAAATTCGCGGAATATTGCACTTGAGATTGAGAACGGCAACGCTTAGAAATGACTTTGAAGGACAGGCTGTATTAATTAATTGTTTATTACGGAACTATTTACATTATAATTTGTATGATCAGGCAGATAAACTTGTACTGAAATCAACTTTCCCCGAATCTGCCAGCAATAACGAATGGGCTAGATTTTTATATTATTTGGGACGCATCAAAGCTGCTAGATTAGAATATTCTGCTGCACATAAGTATTTAGTACAGGTAAGTCAACATTCTTCTTAATATATAAATTTCAAATCAAAATGTTATCAGAAGAAATAAAATTCCGAATAAAAATTGTGTAATTTAAAATTAATGTTTTATCTTTCTTACAGGCTCTTAGAAAAGCTCCACAAAGTACTGCAGTAGGTTTCCGTCAAACAGTGCAAAAACTGGCTGTAACTGTGGAACTTTTACTTGGAGATATTCCAGAACGTCAAACTTTCAGACAAGCTGCTATGCGTCGTGCATTAGCTCCATATTTCCAACTGACTCAGGCTGTGCGTTTAGGAAATCTTCAACGTTTTGGGGAAGTTTTAGAAAACTTTGGCCCACAATTTAGAGCCGATCATACATTTACTTTAATCCTGAGATTGAGGCACAATGTTATTAAAACTGCAATTAGGTCAATTGGACTGTCCTATTCCCGAATTTCTCCCACAGATATTGCAAAGAAGCTTGGTTTGGATTCTAGCGTCGATGCTGAATTTATTGTTGCTAAAGCTATTAGAGATGGTGTAATCGAAGCTACCTTAGAACCAGAAAATGGATACATGCGTAGCAAAGAAACTACAGATATTTATTGTACTAAAGAACCATTACTCGCGTTTCATCAAAGAATTACTTTTTGTTTAGACTTACACAATCAAAGTGTTAAGGCTATGAGGTATCCTCCAAAGTCTTATGGTAAAGATCTTGAATCGGCTGAAGAACGTAGAGAAAGAGAACAACAAGATTTAGAGCTTGCTAAGGAAATGGCAGAAGAGGATGATGACGGATTTCCTTAGATTGTTTATTTTTTCGATACATTTAATTAATAAAATGATCCAATAAAATCATGAAAGACGCTTCTTCATGTTACACTTTCTTATATTTAATATCAGGTACACGAAAATTTTGTTCTCGTATTGCGAAATTGAAAACTTTCAATATACACAGAAAAAAATTGTATAAAAGCGTTGTACTTTTTATAAGAACAAATAAGCAATGAAAGTAAGTTTCAAGAACACAAGATTGTAAATACATTTATTAATATTTCAAAGTTAATGAGATATAAATCTACTCCTTGTCATAATATCAATTAAATATTATACAATAAAATAAATACTAGATAATATTAAAGTGTCTTTGAAATATTTGAACTCCATAAATTATAATAAAATTGCAGACAATTTATATTTAGTAAATTTTTTGTAGCACATCATTTTGTATAACATTCGTTTTCTTATTTATTTACTCGGTAACTTTTCATGTAATTAGAATACAAACTGTAGAAACTTCGAACTTCAATTGTGCTTTTATTAACGATGTTTTAACAAATCATCATTATTAGATATAAAAACAAATATCTAAAAATAGTATAAAAACATTTACACACGCTCAAACACGCATAAATATAACAATATACCGTACGTATCCGGAAAATTTGTTGTTCTTAAAGAACATTATACACTCTTTACATTAATTTCACTTCGGAATTAATTTCACTTTCCTTCTTTTCGGAAAACAATTTACGACAGAATTGTTTTATTATCTTCATATTTTCTTAGTAGAATAAATGTTAATAATCATATCTCTTCCAAAATAAATGTAATATATTTGCGTTGGAGGTCCTTTTAAGGAAATATTTTTCTACAAGAGAAGAATTTTCGAGAATATAAATCTGATAAAAAAGAGAGAGAGAGAGAGAGGGGGGGGAGAGAGAGAGAGAGAGAGAGAGAGAGAGATGGAAAACAATGTTCGCGTATTTCGGTATGTAGATATTTACATAATTATATCTTCATAAATAAAACTGATTTATAACTAAATACTTGCAACGAATTATTCAATTATAGATACTATAATACAATCACTATACAATATTTTTACTGTACAAGGCTTCTTCCTCTCCGTTTTTTCCATTTGTGCAAATTTGATAATAAACCCATGGAAAAATATTTCGTAAGTTATGCATTCGTTGGTCATGCTGTTAAATTATTTATCATATTGAAAAAGTAATCCACTAATACCAGTATCAAATTGTTCAAATATTGATTAAGAATGTTGATAAAGATCTTTGGTCATTGGTTTCATGGAATACTGTTGCTTTTTGGAGATCTTTCTGGATTCTTTCTAATCATCAGTCTGAAAAAATAGAATTTTCGATAAATTAAAATGAAATATTTAAACTCAATTTTTCAAAGTATCACAATCTATAAATTTAGATGCTTGTGTTATTTGTAAAATAATCAAAATTTATTTTATGTGCAGTAGTATATATTTCAAAGTGAGCAAGTATAATATAACGAGTAATCTTGCCTTGTCTCGCTTTAAGTATGTGATAAATCAATAAAGAAAGTAAAAATAATTCTCTGTCCATTAATATTTGAACACCGTTTCCTCTAAGACTCATGTTTGGTGTTAGAAATTCACTTTCTCTATCATCCTCGACATTAACATCACGGTAACCATGATGTGTTTTTCCAAAACATAAAAGATTCATGTTTCTATGAATTCCTTTGCAATCGTATTCTTCAAAACCATCACACTGACATGTATTCAATTTTGCAGCCTTTTCTTGTCTTGTTAAGATATTTATCGAATTTCTACATCTAAAATATTTGCCTTAAGAAGTCATTTGTGTATTACATAAATTATTTTGTAACTTCGTATCACATATTCTTTAGACTTTATTTATTTTCGTATTAAAAAACATATTTACCGTCTAGTACACTTTCGTCCTTGAAACATACTCTTGCAATATTTATTGTAATATGTAAGCGCAGTTTGGCAAAGAGCGTCTGCATTACAAATCCAAGTTGCTATTCTGCAGGACACCCTTGTCCTATTCATTGCCATTGTTACAGACGATCTACATATTTCTACTCTTTGTTTCGACTCCGAACATAATTCATCCTCACATTCACACTAAGTAACAAAAACAAGATATAAATATTCATTAAAAGATTGTATCCTCCATATAAACAAAGTGCACACAAATAAAATTTAAATAGACGTAATGATACAACTTGAAAATCAAGAAATTTATAATAATAATACAAGGAATAAATTTATTAATTTGAATTAAATTCGGTATCTTGAAATGGCTTAACTTTTATTATTAAAAAGAAAGAACAAAAAACAAAGAAAGAAAAAAGTAACCTAACATATCGTTTATAAACATATCGTATATATATATATATATATATATATATATATTGTTTATAAATATTTGTATATGTTTTTGAATTTGTGTTACAAATTGTTTTACTGCTTATAAAAGATTTGCGTAGAATAAAATATTAGTTTAAAATATTCGTTGTTAGTGTTGTATCGTTGAATATTTACATTGATATTAATCAGAATAAACAATGTTTATTTTTTATCAAAAGCAGAGATAATATAATAAGTACTGTCATAAGTTCTTTGCCCTCATCGGTGCTTGTAAGAGCAATAAGGGCATGTTGGCAGGTTTCGGAACAATCATTCCCTTGGAGAACGGGTGCACAACCCGTGAGATAATGTTGCAGAGCTGCGCCACAGCCTGTTCTGAAGGCGCATTTTAATTTTGCTTCCTCACACTTCATTATCGAACTTTTCGCTGTATTCCACATTACTGTATTAAACAACATCACACTCATCAGGAGTATGCTCGATTGATCGAACCAACGTGACATCTTTCTAAAACAGTTGTAAATTTATACAGGTTTAATTTCAAGGATTTAAAGAATCTGTAACACTTCCATATGAATATATAAATAACAATAAAATGTAGCTACAGAAAGTTCGTAATTAATGTAATTTAATTCCGCATTATGATATCTATGTATGTATATATGCGGCTAATATTTTCATCGGCCACTTTGTACCGTTCTGTTGTCTCAGTAACTTAATAGCGTATATGTACGATTATCGGGCGTTTCAAACGAATGCTTCACATGCTGTCTTAGCATATACATATTACTTTCTTTTATTTTTTATTTGATCGTTGATAGGGCAAGGAGGGTAAGACGGTATATGTAGCTAAGAAGAAATGTAAAGAAAATCGAATATATTTTTCATATAACATTTATTGAAGTACTTTTACATCCGATATATATTCGCTGTTAAATTCATACAAAGTCTGATATTATAAAAATTAAACAATCTATAATCATTGTTTTTTTTATCAATTGTATTTTATCTAATGATATTCTATTAATTATAGTTGAAATATAATTTATTAAATATGTTTTAGAATAACTGAAGGTAGAAAACTTTTATTTTCTTATACTTCTAGTTCATTTGGAGCTATTCTCGAACTTTCGTTTCGTTTTTTTTTTTTTTTTTTTTTTTTTTTTTTTTTTTTTTTTGTTGAAATTACAATCAATTCTCGCGTTGAGAATTTTCA